TTTACAAACGAATAAAATTAATAATAAATGAATCGTTTGGTCTATAAAATTAATATAAATAGTAAAAAAAATCAAGTCAAAGATCTTCAGCTTACATTATAATACCGGGGAAAGGCAGCACATTGGAGAGGCTAAAGGTCAGGAATGTTTGACATGAAAAAAAAGAGATAAAATAAATCGATTACTAAAATAGCCACTTATTGTTTTTCTGTCAACTGATTAATTGATTCATTATTAATTTGCAATAGGGATGCACAGCTTGTGAAATTCCGGGTAGATACCAATACAGAGTTTAGAATAACAATTCGGCCAATACCGGTTGTTGTTGTTGTTGTTGTTGTTTATGTCTATTCCCCCTTTTGTGCCAGGCAAACACAGAAATCTTCATTTAAAAATGAAACATATTTAATTATACAAATGGATGAAACAACATTTATTATAACATTCTTTCACATGAAGAAGATTCTTTAACTGCACAATCAGTGACACACATCCAGCAGTGTGTCACTCACTGTTCATTATTCTCACTGAAATCAGATTTGTGTGTGTTTGGATTGTGATTGTGGTGACTTGGTTTCTTCTGTCGTGTAGAGGAATCCATGCGTCTGTCATCACAGGAAGGATGGACACCCCAAGGTGATTAGTGTGGACTGTAGTAGCTGTGTGCAGTGGCTGGTTTATGCCTCGGACGCATGGTTGTGTTGCTTGATTGACACCTCGTCGGCCGCCTCCCATTCTCCCTCCTCCGCTTATCACGCAATGGAAACATCTCGCTCAGGAGAGCCTGTGATGGTTGTGTGCTGTTGCTGCTGCTGTTAAACAAGTTGCTCTTTGACGAGGTAGAGCTTTGTATTCTCAGTCAGGAGTGAACCGAGGATAACCCATTGTGTTAAAGGAGAACGGTCATTATCAAGCTGTCAGACGTACCTGCAGGTGATGAGTGTGTGGTTAAGCATTCAGCTGCAAGCGTTTTAGATGTGAATTGTTGTTGTTGTGGCGTCATGACTCGGAAGGTAACATTTCCCCTTACCAATTAGACCAAAGGTGTCTAAAATTAGTGTACGTCAGTCGTCTGGTATTTCTGGGGAAATCCTAGTTTTCCTAAAGGGTCTGTAATTTGAGTTCCTGCCCTGCTAGCAAACTAACATCGGTGTTATGAGAGCTTCAGAGTTTTTCTGTCTTGCTGGTGATGTTTGTGAAACTCAGGTCAGAAGTTCTGTTTTTAAATGCTGTAGTG